TATATATATATATATATATATATATATATATATATATATATTCATCAAAGTTTAATGTTATAATAATGTATACAAACTGTTAAAGTTATGATTTCAGTAGTTTTAGTTTAGTATATTCTTTTGAAATCGAGTTATACACACATTTCATACACTGAATTTATATATTAATTTAGTGTATACATATATATACTATACATAATAAAGATATACATATATTTTTTTATTTTTGTGGTATGAAGTAGGTATTAAAGTAGGTGTGATAAAAAAAATCAATGTGATTTAGATTTATTGAAAATTATTTTGGATTTAACTCCTCTTGTCCATCACAGCATAGTTCCCTAAATGTTTTGGTTCTTCATATTAAATTTTCACTAATGTATAAAAAAATGTATAAAATCAGTTTATATACAAATTTGGTATATTAAATGTATATATTTTCTCTGTCCAATTTTATTAGTCATGTTACTTTTTCAAATGTAAGTTTGACTAATTTTTATAGTTAAATTAAGTTACATTAATTTGATATTTTATACAAAATATTTAGATATCAAAAATTAAACGAAAAGTACTATAAATTGTAATTTTTCACATTTTAGTATAATGAAAAAATCTATAATAAAATATTAGTTAAAGTTCTATTGTTTGACCGTAAACTATAAGAATTGAAAGTGGATGGAGTTAGTATCACATTTCGGTTCGTAATGTATGTATTAGGTATTAAAATTGTTGTCAAACCTTTTTTGTTTTGTTTAAAATATATACTATATCTTTTTGTTCTCAAAGTTAATTTGTTTCCAATGTACAGAACCTGAATAAAATATCATAAAGATATATTGAATCCAAAATTTGTATATAAAAAAGTATATTATTACTTGCTTTTTTCAGGAAAAAAATAGAGCAACTTCTATACGTAACAATCATAAAAATTATATTTGTATATTATAGCTATAGTTTGCATCACTTCATAATAAATTCTATATCTGTTATGGAGTCTTTGATTTGTATAATTCGCTACAAACATTTAATTTTATAGACATTGTCCAGTTTTGTATAAATTCATTTATACATTGTAATTTGTATAATAAGACTTGTATTTGTACAAAAACAAACACATTCTATACATTTTATACCAAAATATATAAAATGACTAATTATATACCAAAAATGACTAATTATATACCGACTTAGATGACAAAAAAAGGATGTTTGCTGCAAATTACGATTAAAATAAATTACGGCTATAACATTCGATTTGAATAATAATTTACTATTTCATAACTTTTTTTTAAAAAAAAAAGAAGAGGTGCATTATATATATATATATATATATATATATATATATATATATATATATATATATTATTA